AAAAATTATAAATAATAATAATAATAATTAAAAATAATATTAATAATAATGATAATAATTATAAAAATAATTAAAAATAATAATTATAATTATTTGTAATAATTTGTAATAATTACAAATAATAATAATAATAATTAAAGATAATAATAATAATAATAATAATTAAAAAAATAGTAACAACAACAACAATAATAATAATAATAACAATAATAATAAAAATAAGTTAATAATAATTACAACAATAATAATAATAATAATGATAATAATAATTATAATAATAATAATAGTAATAATCATAAATGTTTTGAGAAGGACTGAGATCGATGAAAGACTTCAGTGTCCAAAAACAGGGAGTCAATGTGTCCACATGTTTGACCGTGTAAAAATGTACAAACAGAAAAATCAGAGTTTTAGTGACTAAAGTGTCCCTCAGAAAAAGACACATGGGTTGGAGCAGAGACGTCTCAGACCTGGTGAAGCCCTCCTTGATGTAGTAGAGGAGACACTCGGACATCAGCGGGTCCTCGTTCAGGTTGACCAGGTGAGGGGTCTGAGGGGGGGACACATGAGAGACAGGAACCACAGTCAGACAAGGAGGACAGAGACGGACAGATGTGTGGACATCCACCTGGTCTCTCTGTCTCTTTACTGGACCTGTCTTAGAACCCCAGTGATGGACTTACAGTCCTAGTTACTATGGCAACAAGTCTGTACTCACTCCTTTGGGAGAGAAGACACCCAGAGTCCCGCCGTCCTCCTTAATGGACACACCCATCTCAGCAAGCAGGGACTCTCTGAGACAGAAGGACAGAGGGACAGAGACAGAGGGACAGGAGGAAAGAGACAGAGGGAGACAGAGACAGAGAGACAGAGGGACAGAGACAGAGGGACAGAGAGAAAGAGACAGAGGGACAGAGACAGACAGACAGGAGGAAAGAGACAGAGGGACAGAGAGACAGAGGGACAGAGACAGAGGGACAGGAGGAAAGAGACAGAGGGACAGAGAGACAGAGACAGAGGGACAGAGACAGACAGACAGGAGGAAAGAGACAGAGGGACAGAGAGACAGAGACAGAGGGACAGAGACAGAGAGACAGGAGGAAAGAGACAGAGGGACAGAGAGACAGAGGCACAGGGAGACAGAGAGCTGATTAAAAACAGACATTTCGTTGAAATAACCTTCAGAGTAACAGGAGACAACGTCCACAGGTGTTGACAACCAAAGGTCAGGTTCACCTGTGGTCAGGGTCAAAGGTCAGGTTCACCTGTGTTCAGGGTCAAAGGTCAGGTTCACCTGTGTTCAGGGTCAAAGGTCAGGTTCAGTGTTTACCTCTCCAGACGGATGGACTCTGTCTTCCTCAGTTTCTCCTCCCATGTCTCGTTCAGCTCTGCGATGATCTTCTCTGTCTCCTACAAAGGACACACACACACACACACAGACACACACACACACACACACACACACACACACACACACACACACACACACACACAGACACAGACACACACACACACACACACACACACACAGACACACACAGACACACACACACACACACACACACACAGATTAGCTTCAGTCCCCGTCTGTCTTTTCTGTCCTCAGTCTTCAGTGTCTCCTCCCACCATCAGTCTCTCTGCCGCCTCCTCTTTACTGATGGTCTCCGTAGGCTCCGCCTCCTCGCCGGTCTCCCTGTTGTCCCTGTCCTCTCCGTCCTCTATCAGCTGGTCAGGGTCGTTGGGGATGTCCTCTTCAGAGGCTGGGACAGATCCTTGAGAGGACAAAGACACTTTCAAAACATAGGTCCATAAGAGAGGGAGACAGACAGGAGGACAGAGAGACAGGAGGACAGAGAGACAGGAGGACAGACAGGAGGACAGAGAGACAGGAGGACAGACAGACAGAAGGACAGAGAGACAGGAGGACAGACAGAAGGACAGAGAGGAGGACAGACAGGAGGACAGACAGAGACAGAAGGACAGGGAGACAGGAGGACAGACAAAGAGACAGAGAGGAGGACAGACAGGAGGACAGACAGGAGAACTTTCTCAGTCGTCTTATTGGACATTCAGTTTGACTCCATGTTGAGATTTCAAAATAAAAGCATGAAAATAAACATGAGGGACAAACTTGAGGACATGGAGTGAGACATGAAGGGTGTGAAAAAACACACACACACTCTAACACACACTATAACACACACTCTAACACACACTCTAACACACACCTGGAGGGGTGGAGCCACTCTGAGGTGTTATCCCATTGGCTGTGAGGGCCAGCTGCAGCGGGGACGGGGACGAACCAGCAGCCGCCAAGAGACCGTTGTTGTTGTTAGCTTTAAGAGGGAGAGAGAGAGAGAGAGAAAGAGAGAGAGAGAGAGTCAGGTTTCACGCACAAACACACACACACACACACACACACACACAGTTGCTGTTGTCTATAAGCCCCCCCACCCAACATACTCCACATAGACATGCCATTCATGCATTAAAATAACCGTCATCATGAGAGAGGGGGTCTACAGGAGACAACAAAGAAATGAGAGTTAATCCTAATCTTAATCTGAGAGAGGGTCTACAGGAGACAACAAAGATATGAGAGTTAATCCTAATCTTAATCTGAGAGAGGGTCTACAGGAGACAACAAAGATATGAGAGTTAATCCTAATCTTAATCTGAGAGAGGGTCTACAGGAGACAACAAAGATATGATATGAGAGTTAATCCTAATCTTAATCTGAGAGAGGGTCTACAGGAGACAACAAAGATATGGTATGAGAGTTAATCCTAATCTTAATCTGAGAGAGGGTCTACAGGAGACAACAAAGATATGAGAGTTAATCCTAATCTTAATCTGAGAGAGGGTCTACAGGACACAACAAAGATATGAGAGTTAATCCTAATCTTAATCTGAGAGAGGGTCTACAGGAGACAACAAAGATATGATATGAGAGTTAATCCTAATCTTAATCTGAGAGAGGGTCTACAGGAGACAACAAAGATATGATATGAGAGTTAATCCTAATCTTAATCTGAGAGAGGGTCTACAGGAGACAACAAAGATATGAGAGTTAATCCTAATCTTAATCTGAGAGAGAGTCTACAGGAGACAACAAAGATATGATATGAGAGTTAATCCTAATCTTAATCTGAGAGAGGGTCTACAGGAGACAACAAAGATATGAGAGTTAATCCTTATCTTAATCTGAGAGAGGGTCTACAGGAGACAACAAAGATATGAGAGTTAATCCTAATCTTAATCTGAGAGAGGGTCTACAGGAGACAACAAAGATATGATATGAGAGTTAATCCTAATCTTAATCTGAGAGAGGGTCTACAGGAGACAACAAAGATATGGTATGAGAGTTAATCCTAATCTTAATCTGAGAGAGGGTCTACAGGAGACAACAAAGATATGATATGAGAGTTAATCCTAATCTTAATCTGAGAGAGGGTCTACAGGAGACAACAAAGATATGATATGAGAGTTAATCCTAATCTTAATCTGAGAGAGGGTCTACAGGAGACAACAAAGATATGAGAGTTAATCCTAATCTTAATCTGAGAGAGAGTCTACAGGAGACAACAAAGATATGATATGAGAGTTAATCCTAATCTTAATCTGAGAGAGGGTCTACAGGAGACAACAAAGATATGATATGAGAGTTAATCCTAATCTTAATCTGAGAGAGGGTCTACAGGAGACAACAAAGATATGAGAGTTAATCCTAATCTTAATCTGAGAGAGGGTCTACAGGAGACAACAAAGATATGAGAGTTAATCCTAATCTTAATCTGAGAGGGGGTCTACAGGAGACAACAAAGATATGAGAGTTAATCCTAATCTTAATCTGAGAGGGGGTCTACAGGAGACAACAAAGATATGAGAGTTAATCCTAATCCTAAACTGAGAGAGGGTCTACAGGAGACAACAAAGATATGAGAGTTAATCCTAAACTAAATCTGAGAGAGGGTCTACAGGAGACAACAAAGATATGATATGAGACTTAATCCTAATCTTAATCTGAGAGAGGCACTACAGGAGACAACAAAGATATGAGAGTTAATCCTAATCCTAATCTGAGAGAGGGTCTACAGGAGACAACAAAGATATGAGAGTTAATCCTAATCTTAATCGGAGAGAGGGTCTACAGGAGACAACAAAGATATGAAAGTTAATCCTAATCCTAATCTGAGAGAGGGTCTACAGGAGACAACAAAGATATGAGAGTTAATCCTAATCTTAATCTGAGAGAGGGTCTACAGGAGACAACAAAGATATGAGAGTTAATCCTAATCTTAATCTGAGAGGGGGTCTACAGGAGACAACAAAGATATGATATGAGAGTTAATCCTAATCTTAATCTGAGAGGGGGTCTACAGGAGACAACAAAGATATGAGAGTTAATCCTAATCCTAATCTGAGAGAGGGTCTACAGGAGACAACAAAGATATGAGAGTTAATCCTAAACTAAATCTGAGAGAGGGTCTACAGGAGACAACAAAGATATGATATGAGACTTAATCCTAATCTTAATCTGAGAGAGGCACTACAGGAGACAACAAAGATATGAGAGTTAATCCTAATCCTAATCTGAGAGAGGGTCTACAGGAGACAACAAAGATATGAGAGTTAATCCTAATCTTAATCGGAGAGAGGGTCTACAGGAGACAACAAAGATATGAAAGTTAATCCTAATCCTAATCTGAGAGAGGGTCTACAGGAGACAACAAAGATATGATATGAGAGTTAATCCTAATCTTAATCTGAGAGAGGGTCTACAGGAGACAACAAAGATATGGTATGAGAGTTAATCCTAATCTTAATCTGAGAGAGGGTCTACAGGAGACAACAAAGATATGAGAGTTAATCCTAATCTTAATCTGAGAGAGGGTCTACAGGAGACAACAAAGATATGAGAGTTAATCCTAATCTTAATCTGAGAGAGAGTCTACAGGAGACAACAAAGATATGATATGAGAGTTAATCCTAATCTTAATCTGAGAGAGGGTCTACAGGAGACAACAAAGATATGAGAGTTAATCCTAATCTTAATCTGAGAGAGGCACTACAGGAGACAACAAAGATATGAGAGTTAATCCTAATCCTAATCTGAGAGAGGGTCTACAGGAGACAACAAAGATATGAGAGTTAATCCTAATCTTAATCGGAGAGAGGGTCTACAGGAGACAACAAAGATATGAAAGTTAATCCTAATCCTAATCTGAGAGAGGGTCTACAGGAGACAACAAAGATATGATATGAGAGTTAATCCTAATCTTAATCTGAGAGAGGGTCTACAGGAGACAACAAAGATATGGTATGAGAGTTAATCCTAATCTTAATCTGAGAGAGGGTCTACAGGAGACAACAAAGATATGAGAGTTAATCCTAATCTTAATCTGAGAGAGGGTCTACAGGAGACAACAAAGATATGAGAGTTAATCCTAATCTTAATCTGAGAGAGAGTCTACAGGAGACAACAAAGATATGATATGAGAGTTAATCCTAATCTTAATCTGAGAGAGGGTCTACAGGAGACAACAAAGATATGAGAGTTAATCCTAATCTTAATCTGAGAGAGGGTCTACAGGAGACAACAAAGATATGAGAGTTAATCCTAATCTTAATCTGAGAGAGGGTCTACAGGAGACAACAAAGATATGAAAGTTAATCCTAATCCTAATCTGAGAGAGGGTCTACAGGAGACAACAAAGATATGAGAGTTAATCCTAATCTTAATCTGAGAGAGGGTCTACGGGAGACAACAAAGATATGAAAGTTAATCCTAATCCTAATCTGAGAGAGGGTCTACAGGAGACAACAAAGATATGAGAGTTAATCCTAATCTTAATCTGAGAGAGGGTCTACAGGAGACAACAAAGATATGAGAGTTAATCCTAATCTTAATCTGAGAGAGGGTCTACAGGAGACAACAAAGATATGAGAGTTAATCCTAATCTTAATCTGAGAGGGGGTCTACAGGAGACAACAAAGATATGATATGAGAGTTAATCCTAATCTTAATCTGAGAGAGGATCTACAGGAGACAACAAAGATATGAGAGTTAATCCTAATCTTAATCTGAGAGAGGGTCTACAGGAGACAACAAAGATATGGTATGAGAGTTAATCCTAATCTTAATCTGAGAGAGCGTCTACAGGAGACAACAAAGATATGAGAGTTAATCCTAATCTTAATCTGAGAGAGGGTCTACAGGAGACAACAAAGATATGATATGAGAGTTAATCCTAATCTTAATCTGAGAGAGGGTCTACAGGAGACAACAAAGATATGATATGAGAGTTAATCCTAATCTTAATCTGAGAGAGGGTCTACAGGAGACAACAAAGATATGAGAGTTAATCCTAATCTTAATCGGAGAGAGGGTCTACAGGAGACAACAAAGATATGAGAGTTAATCCTAATCCTAATCTGAGAGAGGGTCTACAGGAGACAACAAAGATATGAGAGTTAATCCTAATCTTAATCTGAGAGGGGGTCTACAGGAGACAACAAAGATATGAGAGTTAATCCTAATCTTAATCTGAGAGGGGGTCTACAGGAGACAACAAAGATATGAGAGTTAATCCTAATCTTAATCTGAGAGGGGGTCTACAGGAGACAACAAAGATATGATATGAGAGTTAATCCTAATCTTAATCTGAGAGAGGGTCTACAGGAGACAACAAAGATATGATATGAGAGTTAATCCTAATCTTAATCTGAGAGAGGGTCTACAGGAGACAACAAAGATATGAGAGTTAATCCTAATCCTAATCTGAGAGAGGGTCTACAGGAGACAACAAAGATATGAGAGTTAATCCTAATCTTAATCTGAGAGAGAGTCTACAGGAGACAACAAAGATATGAGAGTTAATCCTAATCTTAATCTGAGAGAGGGTCTACAGGAGACAACAAAGATATGAGAGTTAATCCTAATCTTAATCTGAGAGAGGGTCTACAGGAGACCACAAAGATATGATATGAGAGTTAATCCTAATCTTAATCTGAGAGAGAGTGAAATGTTCCTTTAATCTCAAAAATATGAAAGTGTCTGTGTATTAAGTGTGTTGGGTGTATGTGAGTATTGGGTGGGCGTAGTGTGTGTGTATATTGTGTGTATATAGAGTGTGTAGTTTGTATGTATTGTGTGTTACCAGCGTTGTCCAGCAGCTCCTGCAGACCCTGAGAGAACAGCAGGTTTGTGTGTGTGTTGTGTGTGTGTGTTGTGTGTATATTGTGTGTATATAGAGTGTGTATTGAGTGTGTATTTTGTATGTATTGTGTGTTACCAGCGTTGTCCAGCAGCTCCTGCAGACCCTGAGAGAACAGCAGGTTTCGGAGACGCTCCACTTCAGCCTTCAGCTCTCGGATCAGTTTGGCGTTTGGATCTTCGTTGATGATGGCGTTACAGCGGATCTGTTTGGCACGGTCAGCGTACCTGAAACCGGATCAGGATCTGGATTAGATTAGAGTCCAGGAGGAGGACCGCGTTAGTCTAGACTAAAGTCTAGATGAGTCTAACCTGAGAGTACTCAGTGTTTCTTCATAGTTGATGTCAGCAGGACTGAGAGCAGCGATCATCGCCGTCCGAGAGTTTCCTCCTGAACACACACACACACACACACACACACACACACACACACACACACAGAGATGTTGTCAGCGGGTCAGTTCTGAAGTTCTGTTTCTAATCTGAGGTGGTTCTGGTTCTTACCCAGGTTCTCCTTCAGGAGCCAAGTGAGAACAGAGTCTCTGTACGGAATAAAATCACTTTTCCTCTTCTTATTACTCTGCTGTAGAGGACAGAGAGGACAGAGAGGACAGAGGGGACAGAGAGGACAGAGGGACAGAGAGGACAGAGAGGACAGAGGGACAGAGAGGACAGAGAGGACAGAGAGGACAGAGAGGGGAGAGGGGACAGAGGGACAGAGAGGACAAAGAGGACAGAGAGGGGAGAGAAGACAGAGGACAGCTCTTAGTCTCTGGTTTTGTTGATTTCATCATCATTTTTCCGTTTGTTTTTCTTTTTTACCATTTCAGCGAGAGCCGAGATGACTTTTCCCAGCGTGGTCAGAGATTTGTTGATGTTTGCTCCTTCCTGCACATGGAAACACAAAGTTAACACACACACACACACACACACAGATCCAGAACTGCAGACACACCCAGCAGCAACTGACCCCTCAATTTTGACCTCTGACCTTAAGCCTAGTGCCCTTCGCCCCCGACGAATCCGCTCGCTCGCTTCCCGCCAGGTCCACCAGGCTGATCTTACTGACCTGAAAACAGAAACTCAGATCAGCCCAGAAGCAAAACCCCAAAACCTGAACCTATAAACCCTGATCGAAAATAAAAAAACAAAGTCCTATAAAAAAATAAATAAAAAAAACAGTAAAACAGTAAATAACAGACAAAAGTCCTGTAAAAAGAAAAAAACACTCTCAAAAAATAAAAACAAAAACCCTGCAAAAAGAACCCTGTATAAAAAAAACTGTAAAATAAAAAAACAAAGACCCTGTATAAAAAAAACAACGAACAAAAACCCTGTAAAAGAGTCTGTAAAAAACAAAACCCTGGAAAAAAAACAAAACCTTGAATAAAAAAGAAATAAAGCTGCAGAAAACAAAAACCCTGTGAAAAAAAACTGTAAAAAAAACCTGTTAAAAAAAACCTGTATATAAAAAAATCCTGTAAAGAAAAAAAAAAACACAAAATCACTTTGTAAAATAAAAAACCAAAACCCTGTAAAATACGAGACAAAACTTAAAAAAAGAGCTGTGTATAAAACAAACTAAAGAAAAAAAACCTGAAAAAAAAAAATTAAACCCTGACCCATAAACGGAGGGCTCTCATTGGTCAGTGTTTTTGCAGCCCTGAACCTGATAGGGTGAACAGATTTTTTCTGTTTTTACTCTGTGGAGATCACACTTTAGGACCATGATCGCCATAGAAACGGGTTCATAATAATTAACAATCTCTACAATCGTCAACCAAGACGCACACATTTTAACACACACACACACACACACCTTCTCAGTGTCCAGGCTGGTCATCTGGTCTCTTCGTTTCTGGGTGAAGACGATGGTGAAGACAGCGTGGGACCTGGAGGACGTCTCATTCATGTTTGTAGCGGCAACCGTCCTGAAAGACGGAGAGAGAGAGACAGTCAGACAGACAGTCAGACAAAGAGAGAGACAAAGAGAGAGACAGTCAGACAAAGAGAGAGACAGTCAGACAAAGAGAGAGACAGTCAGACAAAGAGAGAGACAGTCAGACAAAGACTCGTTTTATTTCATTTTCTTTAAAAGTGTTTTTTTTCCACTGAGTCACTTAAATCATTTAAAAAATTTTTTAATTAAGTTCTTTTTAATCATTTCCAACATTCTAAATCTTATAAAATCACTTTTAAGTCCTTTTAACTTTTTTTAAATCACCTAAAGTTATCTGAAATCATTTCAAACACTTTCACTAAAAAAAAGAAAAAAACATATATATCATATAGACTGTTTATATATTTATATTTCATATATAGTGTTTTTATATTTATATTTGTTTATATATTTATATTTCATATAGACTGTTTATATATTTATATTTCATATATAGTGTTTTTATATTTATATTTGTTTATATATTTATATTTCATATAGACTGTTTATATATTTATATTTGATATATAGTGTTTATATATTTATATTTGATATATAGTGTTTCTATATTTATATTTGATATATAGTGTTTTTATATTTATATTTGTTTATATATTTATATTTGATATATAGTGTTTCTATATTTATATTTCATATATAGTGTTTATATATTTAAATTTCATATATAGTGTTTATATATTTATATTTCATATATTTTATGTATTTATGTTTTTTTTTTAAATCTCCATCTCTGATCGCTGTAAGGGACGTCTCGCCGTGAGGACACAGACCGGGCTTTGTTGCCGGCGTCCATCAGGTCCCGGATGTCGGAGAATCCGGTCACAGCTAGTTTGGACAAGTCCTCCACGTAGGGACCCAGGATGGGGTGCTCCCGGACCCTCAGAGTCCCCTGGGACTTCGGGTTTAAGAGATCCCGGACCCTCTCGCAGTAGATCTCCATGTAGGACACCTGGAGGGGGCGGGGCACAGCGTCCCGTTAGATCACACTGACCTGTCCTCATCTGACCCTTGGGCCAATCAGGATGAGCTTACCTCCACAGAATAGGTCAGGTCAGGGTCTACGTTCTGTCCTGTCCTCTGGAACAGGTCTTCACACAGCTGAGGACACAGAGACACACGGTCAGGACTCGGAGTGTCTCCGTTTGTTTCATACAGAGATCTGCTGATAAAGATGATTGTCTCTATAACGTCCTCCTCTCTGATCATGTTCAGGTGAAATAATCCACCCGTGTTCAGGTGGGAGGTTACCTGTGGGATGATCCCCTCCTGTCCCGGCTCCGTTTTACCCATCATGGTGTAACTCTTTCCAGCTCCCGTCTGTCCGTATGCAAAAATGCAAACATTGTAACCTGGAGAACGAGAACATCATGGACCTGAGTTCATGTTCTCATTTTCAGATTAGAATTAATCAGATTAGAATTAATCAGATTAGAATTAATCAGGTTAGAATAATCTCCACATCAGGACTGATCTCCTCTCCAGATTAAGGTTCTGAAGTTTTAATCTGCGTTTGTACAAACATCACGACAAACGGCGTTAGCAGCAGCGAACATCAGACTTTAGCATCATGAGAAACATTAACACCTGTCCTCATTAAGACCTGTCCTCGTTAAGACCTGTCCTCGTTAACACCTGTCCTCGTTAACACCTGTCCTCATGTCCTCGTTACCTTCGAAGGCGTGGAGCAGCATCTCCTCTCCGATGTCCTTATAGACCTGTTTCTGACAGGCAAAGCTGGGGTCCTCAGCCTGCACACACACACACACACACACACACACAGGTGTTACTTTTTGTTTAAGGCTCAATGTTAGGTTGTGTGTGTGTGTGTGTGTGTGTCTGTGTGTGTGTGTGTGTGTGTTTTACCGTTGTGTGTGACCAGTAGGAGTAGTCAAAGGTGAAGTTCTTGGCAGCATCTTTGGGCTGTTTGGGGTTGGAGATGCCTGGAGAGACAAACACACACATGTCTGTAACACACAGTGTGTGTGTGTGTGTGTGTGTGTGTGTGTGTGTGTGTGTGTGTGTGTGTGTCTTACAGGTGGTGTTTCCTTGCATCTGGATCACACACTTGGCGTTGCGTCCTGTCTCTCGGGAGTTGAACGGGCGCACTCGCACCGCCACCTTCACTGAAGCTCCCGCCATCACTTAGCTCCTCCCACTCTGCCTGAGGACAGCCAATCAGAGAGCAGTGTCAGACAAAGACTGATGAAGTTCTGATGAAGTTGTGATGTTTTCTGTCTTTACGTGAGTGTGGACTCTTCTGATGTTGTCAAGGTCTCTGTCGTCTGTCCCTCTCTCTCTTTTTTTCTCCATCACTCCTTTAATCCTTCTTTCCTCTCCTCTTTTCTTTCCTCACTTTCCTTTTTTTTTTACAACTTTCCTCCGTCTGTTTCCTTTCCTCTTCTTCTCTCCTTCCTCCCTTTGTTCCTCTGTCTCTCTCTCTCTCTCTCTCGCCTCAGTCCTGTTGATTGTTTTGACTGTCCCTCGTTTCCATGGAAACCCTGTCTCTCTCTCTCTCCTTACTTCATCCTATTGAGTTCTCTTAATTTTTCCAGTCCTGTCTGTGTGTGTGTGTCTGTGTCTGTCTGTGTGTGTGTGTGTGTGTGTGTGTGTTTTCTGTAATTAAGCCCTCAGTGGTCTGTAATAAACACATGTCTGACATTCCTTCCACATGTAAAAACACACACACACACACACACACACACACACACACAGACACACACACACACACACACACACACACTTCAGTCCTAAACATGAAGAGAGTTTTTTGTTTCTGACAAGGAAGAATGATATGATCACAGTTGGAGAATTAAGCTGGTGTTTGTTTGTTAGTTTATTTACTTTTCATTTTTTTATTAGATTATTTATCTTTTTGTTTGTTTATTTATTTGTTTATTTTTTTAATTTGTTTGTTAATAAATTAAATTATTTATTTATTTGTTTGTTTATTTTTTTGATAATTTTTCATTTATTTTTTTGTTTGTTTATTTTTTTAAATAAATGTATTTATTTATTTGTTTGTTTATTTTTTTTTTGAAATTTATTTATTTATCTATTTGTTTGTTTATTTGTTTATTTTTTAAATTTGTTTGTTTATTAATTAAATTATTTATTTATTTATTTGTTTGTTTATTTTTTTAGATAAATTTATTTATTTGTTTGTTTGTTTGTTTGTTTATTTGTTTACTTTTAGGATCCTCGTCTCTAAAGCGTTGCTCGTCTTCCTGGTGTCCACATTTATAAAACAACAGATTTAATCGTCCATTTACGATCACAACACGAAAAAGACAAGACGGGTCTACAGGACGTGACATTTAAACATCTAGGTTGTTGTTCGTCTACATCCTGGGACATGAACCAGAAGAAGAAAATACAGAAGAGAGGACGGACAGGAAAGGACACAGGATGGGTGAGTCACTCAGTCCGTTTCCATGACACTAAACCGAATTATCGTCTTATTCCGATTAAGACCGGACAACTGAAGGTCATGTGAACACCTTAGTCCGACTGTAACTTCTGACGTCTGACACCGACCTGCTGTTGTTGTTGACGGTTGGATGGGGTCGGAAACAGCACCGCTGAAAAGACCCATATCGCCCCCTAGTGTTGGGGAGGAGGACACGTTCATGTCAATAATTGGATTTTCTCAGCTGCATGTAAACGAGGACGAGGAGGGAAGTCGGAAAAAGACGAATTATGAGTTTAGTCCGATTAAACTCTTTACCTCTCCGAACACACTCCCACTGCATTAGTCAGACACACACACACACACACACACACACACATACACACACACACACACACACACACACACACACACACACACACACCCTCTGTGCTGCCTCTGTGTGTGTGTGTGTGTGTGTGTGTGTGTGTGTGTGTGTGTTTTCTTTGTCTCTAAACTTGGAGCTGAAGGAACAATAACAACAGCGAGGACACGCCCAGGAAGTATCACACACGCACACACTGACGGCCTGATGATGTCATCGACTGGTCAGGTGACCAACAGCTGATTTTGATCAAACACTCAGATGGAGATCAGCTGACAGAAGGTCTCTCCAGTCCTCCTCAGACCATCATGGTGGACTTCATGAAAACCTGCAGACCTCTCTCTCTGTTCTTCTTTTCGACCTGTGCCAGACCCAGGCAACAGCCGAAGTTCCTCGTACCGTGGTCCCTGATACAGCTGCAGACCGGCTCTGCTCTCACACGTGTTTCTCATTTCAGCGTGAACAAAAGGAAACAGCTGATCGCAGATTCATACCTGACATACCTGGGACAGCTGACTCCAATCTGAGCGCACAGTCCACCTTTAACCACGAACACAACGGTCTCTGTGAGGGTCCGCCCTCAGAGGACCGACACCCGTGAACGAAACCAGCGACCGTCGGAGACACGGAGACGGACGAACGACCGACTTTAACGAGAGTTCGTCTGAGAATGTCCCCACTGTGGTGGAAAAACAGGTTCATCTGTAAACTATATACATACAGCAATGTGTGTATAAGAGCAACACACACACACACACACATGTGCACGCACACACACACACACACACACACACACAATGAGAGGGTTAGAGAACATCTGGTTCAACAGGTCCAACTACCTTTAGAGCTGCTGTTAGTCAAACGGACCTGATTAAACAGCCTGTAGACACACACACACACACACACACACACACACACACACACACACACACACACACACACACACACACACACACACATACGTGCGTGCGCGCGCACACACACACACACACACACACACGGTTTCTCAAGCTCCAGTGAAATTCCAGTTCTCGTTGTGGTTCCCAGCTGACTCTGAGAGAGACGACTATTATGTAACCTGAGCGCACGCACGTGCACACTAACACACGTGCGCACACACACACACACACACACACACACACACACACACACACACACACACACACACACACACACACACACACACACACACACACACACACACACACACACATGTGCGCGCACACACACACACACACACACACACACAATGAGAGGGTTAGAGAACATCTGGTTCAACAGGTCCAACTACCTTTAGAGCTGCTGTTAGTCAAACGGACCTGATTAAACAGCCTGTAGACACACACACACACACACACACACACACACACACACACACACACACACACACACACACACACACACACACACACACATACGTGCGTGCGCGCGCACACACACACACACACACACACACGGTTTCTCAAGCTCCAGTGAAATTCCAGTTCTCGTTGTGGTTCCCAGCTGACTCTGAGAGAGACGACTATTATGTAACCTGAGCGCACGCACGTGCACACTAACACACGTGCGCACACACACACACACACACACACACACACACACACACACACACACACACACACACACACACACAGATTCAATAATAATATAAAGAGTCAAACTAACGGAGAACCACAGAGCCTGTTTTCACTCAGGTCCTCACATGATCGAGTTTAAACCGAGTTTTGTCGACTCGTCTGTTTCTTCAGGTTATTGATCCGCTGACTGACTGATGATCAGTGTTACAGGCTGTTATTGATGAGTGGTTATTGGTGATCAGCTCAGACACACAAACACACACAGACTGTGTTCCCATGAGGAGGAGGAGGAGAGAGAGGAGGAGAGGAGGAGGAGGAGGAGGAGGAGAGGAGGCCTCTCTACAGGAATGTGATAATGAATGGTCTTCATAACACACAGACAGACACACACAGACAGACACACACACACAGACACACACACACACACACACACACACACACACACACACACACACACACACACACACACACACACAGCTAAACATAGCAGCAGCAGCAGCAGCAGGTCGACCAGTAAAGAACGTCTCAGTGAGGGTTTGAGTCGAGCTGACAGATGAACGTCCGGGTCACATGACTGACTTAGCCCCGCCCCCCCCTGTAATAATCCCTGTTGTTGTCAGACCGGGTCTGTCCTGGTCCTGCTGATACATGGAGGTCTGGATGGACACAGATGTTTCTGTGTTTAACAGGGTTGGAGAGTCATTTTTTACAGTGTAGTGTGGTTCTAATCAGAGTCTACAGCTGCTGCGTTTTACAGTGTACTACAAAAATACTGTTAAATAAACTAGATTAAAGTACTTTTTACAGTGTACTACAACAATACTGTTAAATAAACTAGATTAAAGTACTTTTACAGTGTACTACAACAATACTGTTAAATACACAAGAATAAAGTACTTTTACAGTGTACTACAACAATACTGTTAAATAAACTAGATTAAAGTACTTTTACAGTGTACTACAACAATACTGTTAAATAAACTAGATTAAAGTACTTTTTACAGTGTACTACAACAATACTGTTAAATAAACTAGATTAAAGTACTTTTTACAGTGTACTACAACAATACTGTTAAATAAACTAGATTAAAGTACTTTTTACAGTGTACTACAACAATACTGTTAAATAAACTAGATTAAAGTACTTTTACAGTGTACTACAACAATACTGTTAAATAAACTAGATTAAAGTACTTTTTACAGTGTACTACAACAATACTGTTAAATAAACTAGATTAAAGTACTTTTACAGTGTACTACAACAATACTGTTAAATACACTAGATTAAAGTACTTTTTACAGTGTACTGTGTCTTTATCTTCAGGAGAACTTTGGACCGTCTGTCGGACCTCTGATCTGAAAACAAGGAGCTTTGATTAAACTTTATTGATTGATTTGATTAGTATCAGAGCCGGAGTTCACCCTGTTTGATTAAGGATTAAAGTACTTTTTACAGTGTACTATAATAATAGTATCAGTACTTGTGTTCAGCCTGTTTTCCTCTCTGTGGTTTGCAGTGAAACTCTCAGATTTATAAAAACAGACTAAATATTAATAAAATAATAAACTCAGATTTATAAAAACAGACTAAATATTAATAAAATAATTAACTCCTCCCTTCAGTTAATTAATAAGAGTCATGTGACTAAATTCAATATTTGTATAAATTCACTTTCGATCAAACTAAATGATCTTTGATCCATCTGGACAGATTTGTCTCTGAGGACACTCGGTCCGTCTCTGTCTGACGTCCTCTTCTTAATAAAGTCACTGAAAGACTTTAAAAGGTGTTTTAAATTATTATTCCTGACCAGCTGGTTGGAGTTCTGAATCTTTAGTTTCTGATCGATCCGCTCTCATTTTTGATCTTATCTCTCACTCACAGAAAAACTGACCTGTCGTCTCTAAAACTCATTTAAAACCTCCTTTAAAAACTCATTTAAAACCTCCTTTAAAAACTTGTTTAAAACCTCGTTTAAAACCCGCGGTGACCGATTTTTCTCAACTTTGGCTCCTAAACTGTGGAGATGAAAACATTCCTGAAACTCTTTCTTCTTTTAAATCACGTCTTTTTTTATTCCTCAGCTTTCTTTTGTGTGTCTGATCTCTTTTATCTCTTTTATCTCTTTTGTGTTTTTTTTTTCTTTTTAAATGTTTTTTACCTGCTTTTATTTATTTCCTCTTGATGTTTTTCTGTTTGTTCTTTTTTATATTATTGTGCAGAACTTTGGTCAACTGTTTTTTAATATGTTTTTATAGAAAAAAAGTAAATAAGATTAAAATAAAATGGTTAAAAGAGTTAAACTGAGTCTTTTACAACTCTTAACTTTATTGAACTTAAACTTTATTAAAACTTTAACAAACGGTGAATTTGAAGAATCAAACACTAAAAGTTTTTTAAATGAACTTAAGTCTGTTTTTTTTTTATGTTGAACTTGTTTTTTTTTTTTGTCCTCTTTGTTCCTCTTTATTATTATTTTTGTTTTTCCTGTAAATAAACTTTGGTGTTTTTTTTTTACAGTAACGGAAGTCTCTCACGGACCAGTTTCGGGTCTCGGTACCGGGAATGACTCACCTCTACCGGACACAGGAAACACAGGAGAGTCTCGTGGAGGCCACGCGCTGATCCGGTTTAGTCCGAACTCATGTCCGAAAAAGACCGAAGAATCAAAGTCAACAAAGTGTCCTGGTCCTGGTCCTGGCCCCGGTCCAGATCCGGGCCTGTCGGTACCGGGACACACAGACGGAGTCAGGGGGGGGCGCTGCTGTGCTGCGCACACACACACACACACACACACACACACACACACACACACACACACACACACACACTCAGAAAAGTTTACTCACCGTTCGTCTCTCCGGTGTAACGGCCGCACGCGCTCAGCTTTCCCCGGGATGACGTCACCGTGTCCGTGGGTTAAGGTGAAAGGAGTCGAGGAGGTGAGGAGAGGAGGTAAGGAGAGGAACAAAGTGAAGGAAAGTTGCGGCCCGCTGTTGGGCGGAGAATCACGGCGGCACGTCCGGTAGAAACTCGGTGATCCGGGACTCGGTTCGGTCCGCTGGAGCTCCGAACCGGTCCTGGAGGGGGGGGGGCGGCGGGGGGAGGTAACGGTCCACCGAGAGAGACGGTGAGTCCGACCGGAAACGGGAGTTTGACGGTGAAAAACAGACGAAGGAGAGGAAGAGGGGGAGACAGGCTGGCCGGTGGCCTGGCCGCGCGGCGGGTGTGAGCGTGCCGGAGCGGGCGCGTCCCCGTGACGGAGGAGCTGGAGCCCAGCCGGGAGCGCGCACAGGCAGCGGCGGACACAGAGCTGCTCTGAAACAGACGGACGGACAGGAGGTCTCACTCCGACAGAAAAACACAGAGCTGCGGGAATCAGAGCGTGAAAAAAACAGGCTGTAAGAAAGGTTTACAGACTGATTAAAAACAACATTAATAACCGTTATAATCAGGCTGTAAAACAGGCTGTAAGAAAGGTTTACAGACTGATTAAAAACAACATTAATAACATTATAACCAGGCTGTAAAACAGGCTGTAAGAAAGGTTTACAGACTGATTAAAAACAACATTAATAACATTATAACCAGGCTGTAAAACAGGCTGTAAGAAAGGTTTACAGACTGATTAAAAACAACATTAATAACATTATAACCAGGCTGTAAAACAGGCTGTAAGAAAGGTTTACAGACTGATTAAAAACAACATTAATAACCGTTATAACCAGGCTGTAAAACAGGCTGTAAGAAAGGTTTAAAGACAACAGTTTAAATGATTAAAAACAACAATAATAACCGTTATAATCAGGCTGTAAAACAGGCTGTAAGAAAGGTTTACAGACTGATTAAAAACAACATTAATAACATTATAATCAGGCTGTAAAACAGGCTGTAAGACAGGTTTACAGACTGATTAAAAACAACATTAATAACATTATAATCAGGCTGTAAAACAGGCTGTAAGACAGGTTTACAGACTGATTAAAAACAACATTAATAACCGTTATAATCAGGCTGTAAAACAGGCTGTAAGAAAGGTTTACAGACGACAGTTTAAATGATGAAAAACAAGAATAAGAACATATATTTCTCATATATTTTGATGAAGAGTTCATGTGTCTCAGCCTTTATTGGTGTCGATTGTAATTGTTAATGTAATGTCATCATATTTCTTGTTTTAGTTCTGATTATTATAATTATTCTCCTGTTTGGACTTTAATCATTTTAATGCATATTTTTTTGTGGACCTCAGGAAGAGGAGCTGCTACACAGATAGGAGCTAATGGGAGTCCAAATGAATAAATGAAATAAATAAATATACCCACACGAACACTGATACTACTGCGAATAATGAGACTCATAATAACAACAACGATAAGAGTCGAAATAAAGTCTTTTAAACCGTTTCAAAAAAATGTTTGGAGTGGATCATCTTCTCACACAGAGACGATCTTTGTTGTCATGTCCCCCACACGGTGACGTTGCATTAGGGGCAGAGACACGCGCTCCCAGAAAGTTAAAGGAGGCATGTGCGCGCGCGCGTGTGTCACAGGTAACAGAAGGGTGTGAACACAAAGATCGTCTATGAACACAAAGATCGTTTATGACAGACAGAGCTTCACTGTGACACAGAGACAGGAGCGGGTTTACCTGAGAGTGTCACACCTGGATGACGGTCACCTGTGGGAAACAGAAGAAGATCATCCACCTTTAACTTCCTCACATTCAGGAGAGACGCCGTCTGCCTCCTCTCTCTGAGAACAGCGCCCTCTGGTGACGGGCTGCAGTATAGGTCCTAAACCCCGCCTCCTTATGGAGCTGTGGACAAACTGTGGATCGTAGCTGATCGTAAACATTCAAGTTAACATGTCAATTTACACCGGCTTCTTTTCAAAATAAAACATCCGACTTCTTTTCAAAATAAAACATCCGGCTTCTTTTCAAAATAAAACATCCGGCTTCTTTTCAAAATAAAACATCCGACTTCTTTTCAAAATAAAACACTCCGTGTTTCAGGAGGATCGTATTTCACACCATGCAAACGGGCGGAGACAAACAAGTGAAAGGTTTTTAGACGTCATTTCACCCCGATGACACCATGGATGAGGAGATGCTGATTCTAGAAGTCTAGAAGTAGATTTCCTCCTCTGGAAGGACACAATCTACTGCTTATATGTCTATGCGATCACGATTCCTGCTGTCTGTAATCCGCCACAAAATTCGCCTCACAAACAGATCCAGTCGGAAGATAACGACAGAAAAAAAAGAAACCGAAGCTCGCTGCAAATAAAAAAAGAAAAGGTGCCGATTTTTGGAAGTGAGCTGTCCAGGACCGATAACGAAAAAGTGAGGCGTCTACGTACTTATTTCTACGCTAAAGCTTTCAGGGTGTCGTGGGTTTCCCGTGTTAGCCGAAGCTAACTCTACACCGACAATCTTCAGTTTAACGTCATATGGACTCAGGCGCGACACGGCC